TCAGGGTTTTACAAGAAAAGTGACTTCAACAGTAAATAGACTGGAATGTATGGGCACTACTAATACACAGCAAAATGGTATTTTATATGTCTCAAACTCTCCTTCTATTAAAAGTCCCAGTGATAAGGACTGTTAGTTGTGTTAATCATTCCCTGTTCCTTTATAATGTCCTGTAAAAAAGAAAGCAATGCCTTAGTACTACTGTAGATTTTGGAGGGAGACCGTTCAATGGCTGAGCAATCATGGAGAAGTGTGGGCAGAAGACAAAAAAAACAACCTGCTCAGGTAACGTGCTTGCAGTTTCTGTTCTACAGGTGTTCTGCTCTTGGGTCTGGAGAGCTGGAAACACATTCTGGCTGGGGGCAATTCAGAGAAGAGTTCTTCATGTGCCCATAAGCATGACTTCTGCCACAGTCTCATGCCATGAATCAGCACTGCCAGATCAGCAGTGAAAAATGCTGGCCAGTTGCCAATAGCTAAAGTTTCCTTAACACGGGTTTTCAAAGGAATTGTGAGACTGCTCATCACAGGATTATCCTCTGAAGACATGACTAAAGAGACAGCAGTTCCTCTGGGGACAGGCACCTTCTTGATTCTTGATGTAGACAGTGATGTAGGCAGAGGTCAGACAGCAGATGTCTGGTGACCAATGGCTGAAGATGAATCAGCAGTGTCTCCTTGCAGCAGAGGTGACCAAATGCACTCTGTGCTGTGTCAGCAGAAGTGTAGCCAGCAGACCCAGAGAAGTGATATTTCTCCTCTATTTGGCACTCATGAGACTGCACTGGGTTGTGTGTTCAGTCTGAGGCTCCTTGGTCTAGGAAAGCTACTGATCTGTGGGAGGAGGTCCATTAAAAGCCACCAAGACAGTTGGAAGGCTTTGTGGACAGATTAAGAGAGGCTGAAGGAATGGGGCCTTAGGAATAACAAAGGTCAAATTGTAGCTACCTTGTGTGTGTCTACCATGACATGCTTGGAGGATCTGGAAGAGATGTAACTAGGCTCTTCTCAAGAGTGCACAGTGATAGGATGAGAGATGACAGACACGCAGACACCATTTAGAACTGGGCAAGTTCTATTTAGATATTATAATTTTTTTTAATTTTTTTTTTCCTGAAAATTATCAAGTAGGTTGTCCACAGGTTGTCTCCAGCCTTGAAAAATTTCAAGCCTTGACTGGGTACAGTCCTGTTCAACCTCATCTAATGAGACATTTTCCGAGCAGAGAATCTGAATGGATGATCTTCAGAGGTCTTGTCCAACCTAAACTAGACTTTGATTCTAAGGAACTAGTAAGACTAGTTATGGAAGACTAAGAATAGAGATGGGATGTGACAGTGTGGTACTAAACTTCATGTATTGGGTCAGGAGCTACCTTGTAGGATAAAGGGAGAAAGTGCACAGTGCCTGCCTGGGATGCCTGACAGGGTCACATAGGGTCTGCAGGGTTTGGGAGTGTCCACCATCGTGTTTGTGAGACCTGCAGCCCTGAGGTATGCTGAGAGGAGTTTGCTCTAGATACCATGCAGGAGCCAGGAGACATCGACTAGGCAAAGCCTTGAGTTTGGTGAGAGAGGAGGCACAGACGTCGAGGCAGGATAGACTCCCATGATGTTTGCACAGGAGGATGTGTCAGAGAGGTCTGTCACCAGTTGTAGGCCAACCCTCCTTTCACTCCTTACATTGAAAAGGCAGAAGTCTTAATTTTTCGGAATTTGCTTTTCCTCTGCTGTACAACCTAGGATGAGAAAGCTTTAAGGCACTTTCCTGTCCAGCCTGGGTACATGGGAGGACAGCTTTGGGGTGATGACCTCCTGGAGGACTCCTACAGGAGAACTGCCTTTTCTGGGTGAATCTGTGTGTGCCTTTGGACTAGCCATGTCTCCTGGGATTCCCTTTTTATGCTGAGGTTGCACATGATGCATTCCATGGGATGAAGGTTCTATGATTATATGAAATGTCCTGATGGCCTTAATGCTCTCATGTTCTTCAGCTAATGAGCTAATGTTCTTCAGCTCTTAGGAAACTGAAGAACACATAATATTATTATTTTGTTATTTCTGCTTTTGTTATTATAATTAGCATTATTATGCAGAGATTTGATGAAAGCTGTTTTTGACTTTCAAGTTCTTGTTGGAACCTAGTTAGTTCTTCCCTGGGGTTTCATGCCATTCCACCCCAGCAGGACACAGCCACACACCTGGGGTTGCTTCACTGCAAGGTTCTTCACCCATTTCTGGGGACCTGAAGAGGAGGCATTGTTACTGGGTAGTAGAAGAAGGAAAGGGGAGAGATGGTAGAAACAGAAGGAGCTATCTGTTCCCAGAAGAAACAGAATCATCACCAGAGAACTGGGACCATAGGATATAATGTAAAACCTCATAAACCCTAGTTCATCAAGAGTGTGCAGAAGTGCAGACATTTATTCCCAGCTGTGAAGTTGTTTTCTGCAGAAGCAACACATATCACTACTGGAGGAGGGAAAACCCCAAGCAGGGGTACCTCAGGCATGCTTAGAACAAGAATTTTCTCCTTCCCATTCCCTTCTTTGTTCCTCTTGCCCAAGTCACTTCCTGCAGGTCTGTTTTCTTGAGTCTCTTGGTGGGAACGTGTTATTTCTGAGTTTCTCACACATACAGGAGGTTTGATCTCAGTATCCACCTCAGGTATCTTGTCCTCACTGCCTTTCTGAGGAAACCACAGTCTAAGCATTGCAGAGATGTTCTTGAAGTATTGGGAGAATGAATGATAGATCAGTCAGATCCTCTTTCCCAAAGAGACTGGTGTGAGAGGAAGGAGAAGATGAAAATGCTTCTGTCCTGTAACTGTTCTCCCCATATACCCCTGGACAAGGCAGATTTTGCCATTTGATGTGCAAAAAGCTCGTGGTCCATTCTGATCTATGGGCTCTGTTGTGCACTAAAAGCTGGAAGCAACTGGTTAGAGACTCACCTGAGCCTGGCACTACCATTCAAAAAGCTTCTTTGTCCTCTGTCTTTTTCCCAAAGTTCTGTCAGGGTGGACTGTCCCCGAGTGGGCATTTCTAGAGCACATTACAGTGCAGGCACACAACTTCAGCAAGAACCAGATTCCCCCAGGCCCCAAGAAACAGGGGATCCCAAGTGAGGAGGAGCACAGGAGATGATCCATGGTTTTCTTGTGCATTACACATATTCCTCTGACTTTTTCTGCCACTCCAAGGGACTCTGTCTGAAAGGGACCCGTTGCTATGTGTCCTTCTGTCACATTCCTCTGGGAATGATGAAAGGCCCCCTCCTGTGCTCACCACATACCCTGCCAACTAAGGCAATATCTTTCCTCCCTGGCAACATAAGACCACCATAAGAAGCATCATGTGGAGGGTGTAGGTGGGATGCAGAAAAATTTAATGACTCTGACGAAACAAACAAGGTCACTTCTAGAGGAGGAGGCAGAAGTGTAATTTAGTGCACCCTCAGCAAATTTGCAGATGTCACCAAGCTGAGTGCCGTGGTTTATACAATAGAAGGAAAGGATGCCATCCAAAGGGACCTGGACAAGCTTGAGAAGTAGGCCCATGTAAACCGTACGAGGTTCAACAAGTCTAAGTGCAAGGTGTTGTACCTGGGCCAGGGCAATCCCAGACAGGAGTACAGACAGGAGAAGAACTTAGTAAAAACAGCCCTGCAGAGAAGGGGGGATCTGGTGGATGCAAAGCTTAACATGGGGTGTCAGTGTGCACTTGCAGCCCGCAAGGCCAACTGCATCCTGGTCTGCATCAAAAGAGGAGTGGCCAGTAAGTCAAAGGAGGGGATTTTTCCCTTCTGCCCTTCTGCCCTTTCTTTTCCTTTTGCCCTTGTTAGGCCCCACTTGGAGTACTGTATCCAAGTCTGGGGTCCCCAGAACAAGAAGGATCTTAATCTGTTAGAATGGGTACAAAGGAGGATCATGAAGATCCAGCAGGGCTAGGGAGGTGATCGTCCCCCTGTACTCGGCTCTGGTGAGGCCGCACCTCGAGCACTGTGTTCAGTTTTGGGCCCCTCGCTATAAGAAGGACATAGAGGTGCTTGAGCGGGTCCAGAGAAGGGCGACGAAGCTGTTGAGGGGCCTGGAGAACAAGCCCTACGAGGAGCGGCTGAAGGAGCTGGGCTTGTTCAGCCTGGAGAAGAGGAGGCTCAGGGGCAACCTTATTGCTCTCTACAGATACCTTAAAGGAGGCTGTAGCAAGGTGGAGGTTCTCCCACATGCCTTCATCCCCAGCACAGCTCCACCCAAAGCAAGATGAACACTCTTCCCCAAGAGATGGCACCTTCAAGGTCAAGGGAACATGCCTAGGTAGAAATGTCACAACTGAAGGACTGGTGGCAATTGGGTGTGGAGGAACTAGGGATGTCTTCCTCAGCTTCAAGAGACAGTGACTGAAAGATGACTTGCTGCAGTGTGCCCCGCCCTCCGATGCACAGAGGAGTAAGGCAGTGCCAACAGCTAATTCCCAATAAAGCAATGGCTTTCTCTCTTGGCCATCTCTATGCAAAAGGAAAGACCACACCGTGACACACTTTGGGATGCTGCAAACATTTATTGAGTCTCAGGAGGGAAATGAGAAGACTGAGAAGGGAAATCAGGTGAAGAGGCCCTGAGAGCAGAGAGCAGAATGAACATACAAAAGTTTTTCAGCTTTTCCTATAGCACAGTTGCCACAGGGTATCCATCTTCCTGGCCCACAAATGGAGAGAGGCATGCAGGTCAATCCAGGCTGGTTTATAGGGCCTCACAGAAGAGGTTACCCTCAGAAGAGGGTAACAAGGGAAAAAAAGAAAAAGAGTGAGTAACTGGAAAACAGGAAAGGTAGGCATTGGCTGTGTTGTCAGAGAACGCAGGCTGGCCCCGTCCAGTCTGTCTTTACAGGACAAGGCAAAGATAGTCAGCTTCTCTTAAAACAACAGCAAAAAGTTTGTTCTTCTGTCCAGCAGCATGTTGTGAGTTCCTGGGGTCCTGGTCTGGGAAAGGGTCTGGCATCTTTAGCAGGGGCGGCAACAGTAGCGGCTGGCAATACAAGAGAGGTCACAGCACCCGGAGTTGATGGGGACTCCGTCACAGCTGAGGATGCTGCCAACGGCAGCAGAGGTGGAGGATCCCACAACGGTGTTCTGAGGGAAGGAGCTGAGGATGGGGCCGGGCAGGGTCACCACCACGGGAGAGGGCTCAATGACGACGGTGGAGTTCTGGCACTGCCTGACACAGGGCTCATTGCAGCTGCTGGCCAGCGGGGTCGGGCCGCAGGGCTGGCATGGCAGGCAGGGCTGGCACTGGTTGTAGCAGGACATGTCTTGGGGCAGGAGGTTCACCTGGGAGAGAAGGCAGGGAGGAAGCAGAACATGGGGATGCATGAGGAGCAGCCTGTCAGCACACCTGTCTCTCGTTACATAGCAAATCTTCTCCCCACTTCCCTCTCCCACTACCAGCAACTCCAAGATTTGTCATGGAACAGAGCTGATTGCAGCTAAGAGATCCATAGAGCTGAGACTCCTTTGTGGAGAATGAGAGGGACAAGAAAGGGCTTCACACTCACCTGGTTCCTAAGGAGGAGAAGGCTAGAGAAGTGGATGAGGGAGCACGGGGCTGGGCTGGCTTTTATAGTGGACCTTAGCTGCCCCATGTCCAGAGGCATCCCTTGAAGCTGTGATTATTTTCTGACAAGCTCCTCTTGAATGCAAAACATCCCAGCTAATGATATGGGCTGTGTGTTTCCTTCCTGTGCTGCTGTTTTTCATTTCCTGCTTTATGCCCTTTCCTCAATTAAAGCAACTTTTGAGTGGCAGGTAGGGAGGCCGAAGTATTTCCATGCAACACATTTTAGTGTGGGCAGAAGACTCAGCTCATGTGCTGGAAGGGTCCAGTAAAGGCAAGTGATGTCAGCCTGGGTGACTCCTTAGGGGCTCTTTGGGACCCTTGTGTCCGGAGGTGGCCCAGCTCCCCGGTTGTGACCCTATCCCACTAAATGCTGCTCTCAGGGTAAACCTTCTGACATGTTTTGCCTCCTCCTGTTCTCATATGGGAATACCCATTTTTGGGTAAAGTTTGTGCATGGCCCTTTACTGATCTCGAAAAAAAAAAACAAAAACAAAGAAAAACAACAACAACAACAAAAACAAAACAAACATACAAAAAAAACCCACACAAAACAATAAGCAAAACAAAACCAACCAACCAACCAACCAAACAAAAAAGAACAAACAAACAAAAACAAAATCACAAGGACGCACGGGTAATTTAGTGTCTGTTTTTGTAAGATAGAAAAAGAAGAGGATCCTAATGTGAAAGAAGCTTATTTTTGTCACGACACTCAGCAGAACAGGTGGGCATGGGGCACTCCAGCGGTTTCTCTTATCACAACCAGTCTCTGAGGATAAGCTGAATGACTTTGACATGTTAGCACTATGCTAATTATGTAACCTATCAGAGGCTATGGGATTGTACAAACATGTAAATATACTGTAAAGGGGTTGTATAAAGAGTGGCATGGAAAGGCCTTATACTTGCCAGCTTTTGAGGGAAACCACTGCATACCCAGACTTGTGCAACTCTGAAATAAACAATCCCTTGACTTAGTGTGTGGATTGGCTCACTGCATACCACATAATGAATCCAGTGTTTTTATTGGACAACGATATCTGCCAGCCATACACTTGTGAGTCTCTTTCCTTGATACCTGTGCCTTCTCTACTGCCTCCCCTTTTCCTTGCCTGCCTTGCCTGCACCTGCCTGCCAGCACTATGTTTGGGCTGTTCAGACATCCTCTTGGGAAGTCTGAAGGCTCTGACTCTCAGGAACGCCTGAAGGAACAACCCTGCAGGCCCTTCAGACTGCCACTCTTCCTGCCAAGCCTTCAAAGCTGTGTCAGGTTTCTGCTAACAGATGACCAAATACATCTCAAAGAGCCAGGGACCTTGAGGCATATTGTTTTGCTTCTTTGTCACAATCACTGAGGGCTCATCTTACATACCAGAAGCCATTTCCACAGAAGCTCAACTACTGTGAGGAAAAACCAAAGTATCACCAACACCATGAAATGGCTCTCCTTCTTTCAGAATCCAAATCAGCTTCTTCAACTGCTCAGGAAATTTCTTTTTACTCCATGCGTGCCCCTTTCTTGTCCAGCGCTTTCCCCCCCCCGCTACAGGGTGTCTCCCAAGTCCTATGCCTCTTCCTCTCAGCCTCGATCCTCCTCTTGATGAGGATGTTGAGCTGATTTTGCCTTGTGTGAACAATCAACCATGCCATATTCAAGGTACGATCAACCACACCTGTGACATGGCCAACAGATGTTTGTTTGTCCTGTGCTTGAAGGGGGGACACAGTGGAAACCTCAAGGACGTATTGAGGCGCACCTGGGGGACAATGCAGTCATTGGTCCCAGCCAGCATGGGTTTGTGAAGGGTAGGTCCTGCCTAACTAACCTGATTTCCTTTTATGATAAGATCACCCGTATGGTGGACCAAGGGAAACCAGCTGATGTGATTTTTTTGGACTTCAGCAAGGCTTTTGACACGGTTTCCCATAGGATCCTACTGGACAAAATGTCCACCATACAGCTAAATAAAAACATCATACGATGGGTGAGCAATTGGCTAACGGGCAGGGCCCAAAGGGTTATGGTAAATGGGGCTGCGTCAGGCTGGCGGGCGGTCACCAGTGGGGTCCCTCAAGGCTCCATTTTAGGGCCAGTACTTTTCAATATTTTTATAAACGATCTGGATGTAGGAATAGAAGGCATTTTGAGCAAGTTTGCTGATGACACCAAACTTGGAGGAGTTGTGGACTCGAATGAGGGTGGAAAGGCCTTGCAGAGGGATCTGGATAGGTTGGAGAGCTGGGCGATCGCCAACCGCATGAAGTTCAATAAGAGCAAGTGCCGGGTCCTGCACCTGGGACGGGGAAACCCTGGCTGCACGTACAGACTGGGCGACGAGACGCTGGAGAGCAGCCTAGAAGAGAGGGATCTGGGGGTCGTGGTAGACAACAAGTTGAATATGAGCCAGCAGTGTGCCCTGGCAGCCAGGAGGGCCAACCGTGTCCTGGGGTGCATCAAGCACGGCATCGCTAGTAGGTCAAGGGAGGTGATTGTCCCGCTCTACTCTGCGCTGGTGCGGCCTCACCTCGAGTACTGTGTGCAGTTCTGGGCACCACAGTATAAAAAGGACATGAAACTGTTGGAGAGTGTCCAGAGGAGGGCTACGAAGATGGTGAAAGGCCTGGAGGGGAAGACGTACAAGGAACGGCTGAGGGCACTGGGCCTGTTCAGCCTGGAGAAGAGGAGGCTAAGGGGAGACCTCATCGCAGTCTACAACTTCCTCGTAAGGGGGTGTCGAGAGGCAGGAGACCTTTTCTCCATTAACACCAGTGACAGGACCCGCGGGAACGGAGTTAAGCTGAGGCAGGGGAAGTTTAGGCTTGACATCAGGAGGGGGTTCTTCACGGCGAGGGTGGTTGCACACTGGAACAGGCTCCCCAGGGAAGTGGTCACTGCACCGAGCCTGTCTGAATTTAAGAAGAGATTGGACTGTGCACTTAGTCACATGGTCTGAACTTGGGTAGACCTGTGCGGTGTCAAGAGTTGGACTTGATGATCCTTAAGGGTCCCTTCCAACTCAGGATATTCTATGATTCTATGATTCTATGATCTTTTAAGCCTGCCAAAGATCTCTTTCAGTCCCCATGCATGCCTCCTCTGTTTTGTGCCTTGGGATGTACAGGAGAATCACACTGCTGCGATGCTCCTGATAGTGCCTGTCAGTCATGGATTTCCACCCCTGGACAATGTCAGGTCCTCCTGGGAGTCAGTGCTGGATCCAGGCTGATCTCCTCACACCTGTCTATAGACTCCTGCCAGCATTGTCTCAGAAATGCATCGCAGAGGGGACAGATTCCCATCCAGCCCATTTCAGGCTGGTTCTCCTGAAGGCAAAGGGGATATCTGTCACTCCTTCTCCTGAGAGATTTCTGAGCAAAGGGGTTTCAGAGTGCAACCAGCAAAGTGATTTCCAGTTGCGCAAGAGGGATGCTCAGCCTAGTGGGTGCTTCATCCAAGCTCAGCTCCCTTCTGCAAACACAGAAGCAGCTCCCATCCACAGTTTTCTCCACTTGCCAAGGACATGTGCGCAGAACTTCACCCAAGGTTTATATACTGCTAACAGTCTCCTGGAGCTTTCAGAGGAGGCAATAAAAAGTAGGGCAATTAAGAAACCTATGTCCCCAGGAACTGCCAAGCAGTTAGAGTATTGCAACACAGGCCAGCCATTCCAGGGCAATGGGCCATCCCAACAAACCAGAAATGTTTGTCAGAGCTCTGCCTGGGTCTCTTTCTTGCGGTCTACCTCACACCTCAGCCCTGGCAGGGCCAGACCTTCACCTGGGCTAAACTGGTTACTTTCTCTTGTAGCTGTGACTGACTGCATTCTTCCGACACCAGGAAAGGCAAAGAGTTTACCCCAGAACACCTTTGGATACTCCCTCTTGCCTGCATAGTTGATTCCTTCTGGACACGACAAAACTGTACCAAGCAGGGCCATACGTGGATCCATAAGGAAACAGTGTTGTAATTGAGCAAGGACACGACACCCTGTTGATGGAAGCTGTTGCAGAGGTAACCTGCCTGTAATGGGAAAGTGCCAACATCAGGTGGCAGCTGAGCACTGACAGGAGAAATGTCTGCCAGCCTGAGAACTGAGCCTTGAAATCATGGGCATCCTTAAAGTGCATCTGGGCACCAGAGAGCTGCAGACATCCTGAAGATACCCTCAACAAAGGCAAAAGGAGGAACACAGGATAAACTTCTTGCCCGAGAAGGAGGAAAAAAATAAATAAATAAAAGGGTCTGGGAAAGCAGAAATAAGTGTGAGGAGTTTCCTGTGAGTGCAGGTGTCACACTGTCATGGCCATGTCCCTAGGGGGAGAGGGTGATCAACTCTTGCACAGAGCTTCCCTGGAGCAGATGTGGTCCTGACACTGGAGGGGCCTCAGAGGTCCTGGGTCTGAGGAAAGCTTCTCCATTCTTGCAGGCAAGTGGGCACACCAGAGCAGCATGGATGCATGGGCATTGCTTGCTGTCCTTGGGCTGCCCCTGCCCAAGGGGTTTTTGGGTCCTCAGAAACTGGATATTACCGTGTGTGGCCCAGTGTGCCTAATACCAATGCTGAGTTGTGAAGGGAGTTTGTCCTGCATGTATGCCAACACCTGGGCCCTGCCAAGTGCTGTTCTGGAGGCGGTTGGGCCATATGGTGTATATGTTGTGCTCCCTGTTTGCTGGACCGGTGTGGGTAGCTGTGGGCAGAGACGCTGTAAGACAAGGGTGGATGTTCACTTGCCAGAGGCCAGTCTTCTTCAGCTCCAATGGCCAGTGCCCAAGAGAGGTCCATCTGCAGTGTGTTGCAACCACCTTTGGGCTCCCCTCCTTGGCAGAAGTGGCACTCCCCTTTTGATTGCCCTGCACTGGCACTACACAGTCACCAACAGCTTCTTCTGGGACCTGCTACCCGTCACACTGCTAGTCTCTGCTGAGAGCTTCTGCACAGCTGTGCTCCTTGATTACAACAGCACCATCAGTTTTCCAGCGCACTTCCTGTCCTCCTTCAGCTCCTGAGGGTGTTACTTGTTGCCTTCTAGAAGCCGACATGTCAGGAGACAGAAGATGCTCTCCACTCACTCTCACTTGACTGCGGTTATGTTGTGCCTGGGGCCATCCTTCCTCCTCTGTACCAATCACATTGCTAACGTCTCCCTCAAAAAAGTGGCATCCATTTTCTCCAGTGGTGTGATGCTTCCCATCCCATCCCATCCCATCCCATCCCATCCCATCCCATCCCATCCCATCCCATCCCATCCCATCCCATCCCATCCCATCCCATCCCATTCCCTTCCTTCTCTCCTTCTCCTCCCCCCCCCAATCTCCACTCCTGTCCTCTCCCCTGTCCCTTCCCCTTCCTTGCTCTATCTCTCCCAATCTGCGATAGCCATGGATGTTTTCTTCCCCTCCAAGGGTCAGTGCCCAACACACTGCAGACCTTCTGCAGTGTGTTGCAACCACACATTCTTCTGGGAGTGGGGAAGGGGCTCCATAAACACCCATCTTATACCCACCGAGGGCAAAGCCATTATCACAGAATCACAGAATTTCTAGGTTGCAAGAGACCTCAAGATCATTGAGTCCAACCTCTGACCTAACACTAACAGTCCTCCACTAAACCATATCCCTAAGCTCTACATCCAAACGTCTTTTAAAGACCTCCAGGGATGGTGACTCCACCGCTTCCCTGGGCAGCCCGTTCCAATGTCTAACAACCCTTTAGGTAAAGAAGTTCTTCCTAACATCCAACCTAAAACTCCCCTGGCGCAACTTTAGCCCATTCCCCCTTGTCCTGTCACCAGGCATGTGGGAGAACCTCCACCTTGCTACAGCCTCCTGTAAGGTACCTGTAGAGAGCAATAAGGTCGCCCCTGAGCCTCCTTTTCTCCAGGCTGAACAAGCCCAGCTCCCTCAGCCGCTCCTGGTACGACTTGTTCTCCAGATGCCTCAACAGCTTTGTCGCCCTTCTCTGGACTCGCTCAAGCACCTCGATGTCCTTCTTGTAGCGAGGAGCCCAAAACTGAACACAGTACTCAAGGTGCAGCCTCACCAGAGCCGAGTACAGGGGGACAATCACTTCCCTAACCTTGCTGGCCACACTGCTTCTTATACAAGCCAGGATGCCGTTGGCCTTCTTGGCCACCTGAGCACACTGCATTCTCCCAGAACAGCTCAGGAGGGCATACACGGAGGGATGAAACATCTACAGCCAAGGCTGGGATGCAGAATTCTTTAATGAGTGTACAGAGCAAAAGCAGGTCACTCTGAGCTGAGACCCCTCTTCTGAGAAGAGCACAAAGAAAAGGGAGAGAAGGAGGTAGGTGAAGGGATGGAAGGAGAGGCATGAGCCATGTTTTCAGAAAGCGCAGGCTGGCCCCTTCCTGCCAGCATTTGCCAGAGGAGCTGAAAAGGTCAGACATTCTGAAAGCAATGGCCTGAAGATTCCTCCTTTGTGTAGCACCGTATATGAAGTTCCTGGGAGAAGAACCCCAGGGCCATGGCCACTGGCTTCTTTAGCAGGGCAGGCACCTTCTGCCACAGTAGCGGCTGGAAATGCCAGAGAGGTCACAGCAGCCGGAGGTGATGGGGACTCCGTCACAGCTGAGGATGCTGCCAACGGCAGCAGAGGTGGAGGATCCCACAACGGTGTTCTGCGGGAAGGAGCTGAGGATGGGGCCGGGCAGGGTCACCACCACGGGAGAGGGCTCAATGACGATGGTGGAGTTCTGGCACTGCCTGACACAGGGCTCGTTGCAGCTGCTGGCCAGCGGGGTCGGGCCACAGGGCCGGCATGGCAGGCACTGGTTGTAGCAGGACATGTCTTGGGCAGGAGATGCACCTGGGAGAGAGGGCAGAGAAGAAGTAGAGCACATGGATAGGTGACTTACCAGCTCAGTTACCCCATCGCAAAAGGGCCAAGGCAACAGCTGAGGGTGGAGGTGGAGGCTGTGCCAGGAAGCACATGGTGTTCATCGCTTTGTCCTGACAGGGCCCTTCAAAGAGCAGTCTGGCCCAGGAACGCTCTCACATAGTACATAAACCAAAAGCCGCCTCAGACCCATGTCCCAGTCACTGTCTACACAGACTTTCTGTATCCACCCCTCTCCCATGGCAAGAAACTCTGAGGCCCAGCATAGCACTGAAGCACGACCAGATGAGATGTCTATTGATGCAAGATCCCTTCCACTTTGGAAGAGGAGGAGAGAGGGCTTCAGACTCACCTGGTTCCCAAGGAGGACAAGGCGAGAGAACTGGATGGGAGAGCAGGGAGCTGGACTGCTCTTTATACTGGTCCTTCATTGCTGTAGGCCATGAGACACCCTTAACAAAGCTAATAATTTTTTTATCAAGCTCATCTTGAATGCAAACTATCCCAACTAATAATATGTATGGTCTGTGTTGGTTTCCTACACTGCTGCCTTTTCATTTCCAGATTTAGGTCTTGCCCGTGCCCCATTTAAGGATTCTTTGGAGTGTTGGGATGAAAGGCCCAAGGATTTCTAGGGCAGGAATGCATTAGCGATGGCAGAAAACTCAAGTGCTGGATGTGTCTTGAGCAGTGAGATGATGTCTGTCTGGGTCACTTTGTTGGGGCTGTTTGAAGTGTCATACTCAGGAGGAAGCTCCCACAAGCTTCAGTTGGTTTCTGAAGGACTTCTGTGCATGAGGGTGTGTCACGTCCTTCCCTTTCCTGCCATATTTAACTCTTTCTTGGTCCGTAGTTGCCTCCCCAGGTATGTGATTTGTTCTACTGGCTTTTGATCCCATCCCCATTTACATTGCCTTCCAGAATTTATATTCTTTCTCTTTTCGACTCTGAACTTCTCTGTGCAGTCTGTGAGCTGAGGATGGAGCCTGTCAGAGCCACTATCACAGAAACGGATTAGATGATGACTTTGGAATGGCACTCGCACTGCCTGCTGCACGGCTCATTGCAGCTTCTGACAGTGGCATTGGGCTGCAGGGCTTGGCAGAGCAGGCACTGGTCGTAGCAGGACAAGTGTTGGGGCAGGAGGTGAAACTGGGAGAGAGGGCAGGGAGGAAGCAGAGTGCAGGGATATGTGAGGAGTAAAATGTCTTCATCCAGACATGATCTGAAAAGAGTGGTCAGGACCAACAAGGATGCTGCCTCTCTCTAAGATGAAAATTCTACTCAGCCAGGTCCCACATGGTCTCTGAGTCACACCTTTCCTGACTGTGATCTCTCATGACCACCATCGCCAATACCTAGCTCAACATGTATCGGTATTACTGGAAAAGGATATGGGGAAAGGGCTTCATATACACTGGGTTCCCAAGAATAAGAAGATGAGGGAGTCGAGGATCTCATCTGGCTTTTCTGGTGACCCTTTGCTGCTCCAGGCCCAGACGTAGCCTCCACAGAAGTGATAATTTTCTAGAGTGCTCGTTATGAATGGAAAACTTCACAGTTAATGACATGGGCTGTGGGGCTGTTTCCCCTTTACACTGTCCTTTCATTTCCTGGCTTATGCCACACCCATTCCCTCTTAGAGGCTTCTTCAGAGTTCTGGGATGGAGAGGCCCCAGGATTTCTGGGCTAGGGCTGAGTCAGTGGTGGCAAGGGACTTGGCTCAAGCACCAGATGGGTCCAGTACAGACAAGGGATGATGGCCTGGGGCACTGTGGTGGCGTTGTTATTATCTGTGGTAACAGGAAGGGGCCCAGCTGTTCCCAGCCCTGCAATCCTTGCCTGGTCACCTGAGGGCTTTCCTGCATGTGCATGTGGATGTGCCACGTCTTCCTCTTTCCCTCTCTCCCAACTTGCTCCAACAGTCCTATGGGGTGGGCTTCCAGACAGGTGGGCTCCACTGTGGAGTTTCCAATCTCTTCCCATTAAAGCTGCCCTCTGGAGAAATGGGTTGACCTCCTTGGACTCCTCTCTCTGGGCAGCCCCTGTGCATCCCCACACTGTGCTGTCCTCTCCTCCAGAGCCTTGTCCTGCTCAGAGCACACAGTCGTGCCCTTCCAGAAAGGTCCCCAGCATCTCCTCTGTCAGCTGCTCTTGGCCTCTGCCTCTACCCCATCACGAATATGTGCACATGTGTGTGGCAGAGCCCTTGTGAACCCATCAGTTGTACTGAGTGCATGCATGTACCTGATGTCTGCACATGCAGACCGGGCACACATGCATGGCCTCATGTTCCTGTGCACACAGTATTAGCATGTGCATTTGTCAGAACATCTATGGAACTGTGTGTGCATGCATGCACATGCATGTTTGCGTGTGTCCATGGATCTGTGTGTGTAGTATGTATGCATTCTTGGGATGTGCTAGTGTGCACATAATTCACCTGACCCTAGGCATATGTCCAGCTGGTCCCAGGGCCTATAGCGTCATCTTGGTGTCATGATACCAGGCCTACTAACTCCTGGTGGGGAACACCTTTCTCTGAGGAGGGGAAGGATTTTTGTCATGGAGTAAGCAGGGCTGATTGATAGGGGTTTAAGCTAGATTTGAAGGGGGAAAGGGATAAAAGCAGGCCCACCAGTGATAAGCTAGGGATAAGCAGTGATAAGCATGACAATTTTTGATGAACTGCATACTAGTGAGGCCCCACAAGGTCTCCTAGTCTTCCCCACAAGGGGCTAAGTTGAATGAAATACATCTGAATTTTCCTAAACATACACATGAGTCATGAGAAGTAAGGAGATCAGGTCCCTGAAATGCTTGTATACTAATGCACGTAGCATGGGAAACAAGCAGGAGGAGCTGGAAGCCACAGTGCCATTAGAAAACTATGATCTAATTGTTATCACAGAGATGTGGTGGGATGAACCAGGGCAATCAGTGCAAAGTTGGGAGATTTAATTGGCTGTAAACAGGAACTAGCCCTCAGTCATCAAGGTCAGACACTTTGGAGCTGGCCCAGCTGCAGCAACTAATTACAATTTACAGGGAGATTTTGGGCCCTTGCTTCACCAGCGGTGACCCGGGACAGCGGCACACCAGGCAGCACCACCATCTCTCTCGAGAGAGATTGACAGGGAGTGGGCATTGCCAGGACAACGGTGACTACTCCCACGCCCTCTGCCTAGAAAAAGCCTCCAGGAGGACAGGGACACCTCGCTGCCCACCAGGAAGAGGGAGTGGCCATCAGCACATGTGCACTGGTGAGCAGCTGCTGTGACAAGGAGCAGGAGCTCTGCACCAACTATCAGCAGTGTGCAAGATTACAAACCTACCATGGTGTCCACTAGGCAGAGAGCTCACTCCAAAAAGGCTGTGGCAACCCAGATGGAGGGCCTGCCTAGAGATGTGGCGGTTCAGGCCTCTGGTTGCAGGGAGTGCCTCAGCCTGCTGCTGCCAAGAGAGGGCAGCGGGGAAACCGCCTATTCTCAGGGGGAAAGTCTGCTCACCATGGTGGCTGAGCTCAAGGAGGAGGTGGAGGGACTAAGAAATGTCAGGGAGTGTAAGCAGGAGATTGATTGGTGGAGTAACTCCCTGGTGTGCCAGAGAGAAGGACGCCAGGGGGATGCCACCCAGAGTGTGGTGGAGCCTCTGCCCTGTCACTATTGGTCAAAGGGAAAGGACCAAAAAGAAGAGGAGGGTTGGAAGCAAGTTCCAGTTTGGCTTTGTGGGCCCTCCCCTTCCCTCCCTCCCTATCTTCCCCAGGTACCCCTTCATAATAGGTTTGATGGCCTGGATCTTGAAGGAGAGGTAGGCAAGGATGTGGTAGAAGGCCTGCCTATGAGATCACATAGAAAAAGGCAGTTGACACCATGCCTCAAAACTGACTCCAAAAAGAAAAAAAAAGAAGGGTAACCGTAGTAGGAGATTCCTTTCTGAGAGGAGCAGAGGGCCCAATATGCAGCATTGACCCTCATCATAGGGAAGTCTACAGTCTACCTGGAGCCCAGGTATCGCCAGGACACTCCCCAGCCTGGTGTAGTCAACAGACTAATACCTGCTTCTGATATTCCATATAAGTAGGGAGGAAGCTGCATCCCATAATATGAGGGGAATGAAGAAAGACTTAAAGGCTTTGGGACGGTTGTTGAAGGAGTCTAGAGCACAAGCTGTTTTCTCCTCTCTCCTTCCATTCTTGGGTAATGACTTAGAACATAATAGAAGGATCCAGTCCATAAATGCTTGGCTATGTGACTGGTGCTACAGGCAGGGCTTTGGGTTCTTTTACAATGGCTGGTTTTATAAAACACCAGGCCTGACAGTAATACGCAAGAAAGGTTTATCTCAGAGACAAGAGAGTTCTGAGACAGGAATTAGCAGAGCTTATTTGGAGAGCTTTAAACTAGATTTGAAGGGGGATGGGGCTGTATCTGGGCTTGCACCAGTGGAGCAGCATTATAGCATTGAGGAAGCATCAGGCAACCTCTCACCTTCCTTGGGTTAAATTGACATGCTCAGCTCGCACCCTCAAATGCCTGTACACCAATGAACACAGCATGGAGAATAAGCAGGAGGAGTTAGAAATCTGTGTTCGGTCAGGAGATTATGATCCGGTGGGAATTACAGAGACATGATGGGACAGCTCACATGACTGGAACATGGTCATGGATGGTTATGTCCTTCTCAGGAAAGACAGACCAGAAAGGCGAGGTGTTGGAGCAGCTCTTTATGTGAGAGAGCAACTACAATAGATTGAGTACTGTCCAAGGGTGGATGAGGAGTGAGTTGAGAGTCTGTGGGTGAGAAATAAGGGACAGGCTGGCATGGCGGATACTGTTATCGGTGTCTATTACAGGCCACCAGATTAGTATGAAGAAGTTGACAAGGCCTTCTACAGGCAGCTGAGAGCAGCCTCTCAATTACAGGCCCTGGTTATCATGGGGGATTTCACCTACCCTGACATTTGCTGTAAGGCCTACTCAGCCAGCCATCCGCAGTTCCTCCAGTGCATTGATGATAACTTCCTGATGCAAATGGTGGATGTGCCAACTAGG